GGACTCATGGGCTGTGGGGATTTATGACCCGGGAATCGGAAGAAAAGAAAATTGCGAGAAAATGCACAAAGTCCTCGAAACCAAATCGGAAAAGCTTCTGAGTTCCTATTTTACTGGTAGCGTTTGGGATAGGCCTATTACGTTCGGCTTTCCCCAGTCCGAGAGTACGTTTCACGCGAACAAGCGGCTATGGCGACAGGCGGAAGTGTAGGTGTAATGCTGAGACTCCATCGGGAAAATCAAACTTTTGTTACCGCCCAGAATTGTCCGATGATTGTTCGTTGACGTTAGATTTACAGTTCATACACATTTGTTACTTGCAGTTTGTGCGTAAAAAACACAGTGAAGCCATAGACATTAAATCGATATTCTCACTGATGTCGTCACTATAATGACTAAACAAGGGAGAAAAAGAAAAGACGCGTCCTCCAATTTCTCGATTGTCGGGCCCGTCATCGTGACTGGTCAATGAACCTGTGAGAGTTCCTGAGTACGGCGTGAGCAAGGGACCGGCCGGTGGTTGTTGGGGAAAGCCTAATCAAAGTTCATTCAAAGTAGGGGTGTTGCAGGGCGTCGGAACTGAGGGGAGATGTTTGATGCGATAAAGATTACGGCAGCAGGAAAAGGCCGCGGTGCAAGAAACCGATGCTGAAATAAAAACGATAAGTGGAAGTGGTTTTGACATTTGACAATCGAGTGCGTAAATGAGGGAACATTAGAGCACAGGCTTGATGATTGTATCTTCAAGGTTGGTGTTCCCGGATGTTTCGGATTTGTCAGTGATGACAAATTGAATAGGTGCAATGAGGAAATGCCATTTTCAACCTTCGGAAAGCTCTATGTTGGATGCCTATGCATCATGATGGCTTGTTGCTGATTAAATACTGGTACTGTGATTTAGCATTTTGAAAAAAATCAATACTTAGTCCATGATGCAGTGGTTCTCTGATTGCCAGGTTTTCAGCATCACTACATCCCACGCTCTCACAGTCCTTCCAGCCCGGCTCCCGGTACACGCTCTCTTTTATTGTCACTTGTTACTCTGCCGTAAGCCTAACTAGAAAGGTTTTATAAATACGTTTTGTCTTGCATGCTTTTTAAAATCCATGGTTTTGGCAGTTGATGTTCGTCTTGCCTCTCCTCAGGCCCAGATCAGGATTGATTTTGTATTTTTAGGGCAAAACTAGTTAAAATTAATTGTCTGTCTTATCTAAGCCAGGAAGGACTTATCAGTGTCCTATGCTAGTGTCGGGAAAATTATGTTTCATTGATACATTGTCACATTGTTACATTGTCACATTGTTTTATTGTTACATTGTTTGTTACATTGTTTCATTGTTACATTGTTCCATTGTTACATTGTTTGTTACATTGTCACATTGTTTCATTGTTTCATTGTTTGTTACATTGTTACATTGTTTCATTGTTTGTTACTTTGTTTCATTGTTTGTTACATTGTTTCATTGTTACATTGTTTCA